ATCTTAATATTTCCCCTTTTCTAAACTAGTGTTGGGGCACCTGCGTGGCTCAAACATCCAACTCTTGATTTTGGCTCAGGTCATGATCCCATGGTTCATAATTCAGGCCCTGCATCTGGCTCTGCACTAAGAGCACTGAGGGTGCTTGGGATTCTCTCACCCTCTCTCTCTCTCTGCCCCTCCCCTCTCACTCAAAATAAATACATTAAAAAAAAATAGAAAAAAAAGAAACTAGCATTTACATCACCCAGTTTAGTCAGGAATAGTTACCAGATGTGTTGCAAAATATCTCTCCCTCACCCATGCCCCCACTCCCACCCTCCCCATGGAGAACTAGGATCAGTAACTAGAAGGTAAATGAAAGCAGATGTAGGACCCTGCATGAGAAATCCACCCTCTCTCTTGTGTCCTCACCTCAATAATCAGCATCCTCATCTGTACAACTGCACCAGGTAGAAATCTAGAAGTCATCCCTGATTTCTTGCTTACTCTCCACACCAATCATCTTTGTGTCTCATTCACAATTCCTTCTACACACACACACACACACACACACCCTTCACTGGAAACATCATCATCTCCTACCTGTATGTACCATAACAGCCTCCTCCTAACTGGTCTTTTTTGCCCAAGGTACTCTAGCCCTCCAATCCAGTCCCCAAACAGGTAGACAGAGAGCCTTCTAAAATGCCCAGGGGAGCATGGCCACCCTCATCTCAGTTTAAAGTTCAAACTCCTCAACCTGGGCAACAAGCCCCTTTCATGACTTGGCTTCTGCTCTACCTACTGTACCAGTCTTCTCTCATCTCGGGTCACATCCACCCATCTTTTGTTTTATGATCCATTCAAGAATCTTGAGAAAACTGAGAGATGTATTTAACCCCTCTGGGTCTGTTCCTCACCTATGGAGTGGGAATAATAGTATACTTCTCAAGGTGGTTATAGGAAGGAGTAACACATGTTAAATGCTTAAGAGTATAGTACCTGATAGATACAGTAAATGGCCAAAAGTCTTACCTATTACTACCACCATCTCTAAACTTGCAATTCCTTCTGCCTAGTCTTATCTTCTCTCCTCAACTCTCCAAATCTCGTTTCCTCCTGCCTCAGGTCTCTCTGTTTTTCTTGAGATCTGAAGAAGCCTCCAAGGCTGGGTAAGTAACCATTTCTCTATGCTCTCATAGTGTTTATCCTATTCACAATACTTCTCACACGGCCTGTTTCCTTGCCTGTCTTCCCCACGACACTATATAGACCCAAATCCCCAAGGTTAGGACTGTGCATGGCAGATGCTTAATAATTTTCCTGTAAATGAAAAACTTTCCGATAATGAAGTGTCCAATGAAACCGAATCTCAACAGGTAGCCAGAACGGGACTTTAAAGTTCCTCAACTACAAGATCCTACCCAATAAACAATTCAGCACATTCTGACATTATCACACTCAGGGGTTTGGACTTAATACATAGGCAATGCTAAACCATCAGTTCTTTAAGGAAAGTGCAACATGCTCAGATCTGTTTGCTGCCCTATTAAACCCATCTCTGGAACACCTCCCACTCCCACCCCCTGTAGATATCAGGACAAAATTCCAACTACCCTTCACAAACACCACATTCTACCACCCCACCATCTCCCAAACACATAGAACGGGAAAAGGTCAAACCGAAGAGAATTCTGAAAGGCTAAATGCATTTAACTCCATCTTAACCACCTGCAAACAAGGAGTATCCATAAACACCCTCTAGGAAACCAAAGCTAATCCCTCTTGTGTGACTATATACAAAGAGGAGGGCAAAGAGAGAGAACATTTCATAAAGGTAATCCATTTAATCATCCTCTGAGTAGTTCTGATCCGAGCTGCTGTCATAGCACTGCTATTCTTGATCACTACAGCCTGATATGCCCAAACCCTGTATGGTCAGAAAGGCAGGTGCAAACAAGGCAAGTGGAGAGCCCTCTGGGTTCTATTTCAAGGGTAAGAGGTCACTTTGGAAGACACAAAAGAGGCTAGCACAGATCTCCAAAACAGGCTTCAGTGATAGAGGAAAAGGGGGGAAGGAGCTTAACCAAAGGTACAATCAGGCTTCTGTTCCCACTCTGGGGATGCATACCACACCCTACTGCCACTGCCAATCAGGGCTGATCATTTTGCATTTACAAAGCACCCTGAGGTCAAGGGAGGCACAAAGAGTGCCAACTTTGCCAGTCACAAAAGGACAAAATATGTATAATCCCACTTACATATGGTACTTAGAATAGTCAAATTCAGACACACAAAATAGTATGGTGGTTGCCAGGGGCTGGGGGGGAGATGGGAATAGGCAGTTAGTGTTTAATGGATACAGTTTCAGTTGGGGAAGACAAAAATTTCTAGGTAAGGATAGTGGTGATGGCTGCATAACAGTGTGAATGCACTTAATGCCAGAGAACTGTCCATTTAAAACTGGTTAAAATGGTAAATTTTATGTCCCGTGTATTTTTACAAAAAACAAAAAAACACCCACACTGGCTTTAAAGTTATACTGTCTGCAGTTATCAATTACATGATCCTGAGCAAGTCATATAACCTCTCTAAAGCCTATTTCTTCCTCTGTAAATCAGGGATAATACCTAATTCATAAAATTGCTCTGAGGAATAAATGAGATACCCCACAGAAAGTCCTTAGTCCAGTACCTGGTATATGGTAAGTACTTAATGTTAGCTATTATTTCTGCTACTGCAATAGACTTTCACGGCCATTTCTCACAGCTCCCACACAAGCCTGTTGAGTTTACAGAAAAGGAAACAGGTTCACAGAGTCACAATAAGTGGCTCAATTTATTATGCCACATCAAATCCTCTGCCCATGAAAGGTGTCCTGTCCTTACCACTTGTTAATCTGGTGATTATAAGAAAGTCAAGTATCCCAACCTTGCTGTGTCTCCATTCTCAATTACAGCTGTAAAATGCAGATGTAAAGCAAATTCTAAGAACTCCCTCACAGAACTGATTAGAAATGAAATCAGATGATTCCAGAAGAGTACTATAAACCATAAAGTACCACACAATAAAAGTAATGAGAACTGGTACACCTGTGCACAAAACCTGACCTCCTTTTAATGCAAAACCTGAGGCATGGAGAGTGGCTGGAACTAAACAACTTCCTCGTGATTTCAATTTACTCAGGATTCCTGGTCTTAAGGCCTGACTATGTAATTTACTGCTCTTTCAAAAGGTGGCAAGGGATTGTAGAAATATAACTACTACTGGACTGGGAATTCTAGTTCCAATTTGTCACTAAGGCAGTCTGTGAATTTAGACAACTTAACTTCCCCTTTCAGTGTTCAATTAACAGGGAAGAGGGACAAGGCAAACAAAAAAGTTAGACCAGATAATAAGACCCCTTCCAGCTCCTACATACCACAAGTTCTAAATCCAGAATTTTGGAAAAAGGAGGGCACAACAGACCTCCAGACTCTCAAGAATTAATGCAAACATCAGGAGACTCTTTCAAAATGTGGCCTACCTGATTTTGACACTTCCCACACCAGGATCAAACACTGGAAAACTAGAACACTAGTCAAAGTTAATTTTAGTTCGCTTTTATCCCTCTTGGTCTTACCTGAAAATAGGGAAAATAAAACCCTATTTGAAGGCAGAGAGTTGAAGCACTTGACTTGAGCCACTTCCTGCTTCCCCTCCCCCAACCAGGAGCTACAAATCTAAACACTATGGAGAACACTCAAGGTTTGGGGGGAGGAACATACTATAAACAAAATGCATAGCCCTCACTGTTATAATGACTCAAGCCTTCCTTGCGCCAAAATCCCAGAGAATTTCAGTTGTTCCTGAGATCTGGAGTCCCCTACCTTCATCAAATTCTAACGGGCAATACTAGCAAGAAATCCACAGTAATTTCCTTTCCCTCCGACCCCTCATATCCCCAGAATGGGATTTCATCCATAGCATAGTGGACACTAGCCTAGAAGTCAGGGAAAACGGAGTTACGTCTGCAACGATGTGACCCAAGGGTAAGTCAAAATCCTCTCTGCACTAAGAGATTACACAAGCTCACACTTAAGAAATAAGTAACAGGTACTAGTACCAAGACTTTACACTTCTATGACTACTATGATTTGCAGCACATTATTTCACCTCCCTGAGCCTTGTTTTTTGCTTTTGGAAAGGGGGATAACCCCAGAAGGCCGTCATGAGCATTAAATGAAATAGGGCTTACAAAGTTCCTAGTCAAGTCCATTAAATGTTACCTGTTGGTATTAAACACTTCTCACACATATTAGTTTCCTAAATCCACAAACATGCTGCGAGGAGACTTTCTTTCCCAAATTTTACGGAGGGACAAACTAAAGCTCGGCTGCACACAGAGGGCTGCGTGAATTGCGGAACACTGCCCCAGCTCGAGGACCGGTTGTTGCTCCTCTCCGAGCCCCAAGGTATGCAAGGAGCCCAGGAACGGCAGCGGCGGGGGCCGCGGCGGCGCTCAAGCCCGGGGGGAGCGAGGCAGGGCCAGTTCTGCGCACCTCGGGGAGCCCGCAGACCCAGCCGGATCGGGCAGGAGAGCCGGAAGAAGCCGGGGCCGGAGCCGGGACCGAGCCCGCCCAGGCCTCCCCGGTGCGGCCTCCACTCCCTTCCCTCCTCCCCTCGCCGGGTGGGGCGGGGCGCGAGCACAAAGACTCCAACTTCCGAGCGGGCGCGGGCCCACCCCGCCAACTCTTGGCCCAGGCCCGGCCCGCAAGGGGGAATCGGCCAGGGAACGCCAGGCGGCCGGGGGCAGGCGACGATGGGCCGGGCTAGCGACCCGGCGCGGCGGGCCCGGAGATGGGGAGGAGGTGCGGGCGGAGGGGGCCGGGAGTTACTCCCGCTCCTGGGACGCCCAGAATGGCCGAAAAAAGAGTTTCTAAAAATAGGCAGGAACTCGAGTGAAGAGGTGGGCGGCCGAAAAGGAAAGAGGAACACTCCCCCGCACCCTTAAGGAGACGCCGGTGGCCCCCACTCACCCGCGCCAAGAGGTCTGGAGGAAGCCGCGCGGCGCGGAAGGAGGCGGTGCCGCCGCACTCGGGGGCGGAAGGGAGGGAGCGAAGGAGGAAGAAGGCGGCTCCGGCCGCGGCGTGAGGAGCTGAGCACACGCGCGGGAGTCGCCCCCGCCGCCGCTACCGCCCCCTCAGCTTCTCCCGGCTAAGCCCGCCCTGCGCCCGCGCCGCTCGCGCGCCCCGCCGCACTGACAGCGGCGCGAGCCCCGCAGCCGCGAGTCCTTCCCTCGGCCGGCACCACTGAAGCGCGCGGGAGTGGGGGTGCCCTGAACGGTTTCCCTAAGCTTGGCCCCACCCGCCGCTCCAGCCCTGGCCCTGGGCCTTCCCTCCACGCCCCTGCCTCTTTCTCCGGGAAAGGACACCGAGACCCAAGCGCTGAGTCCGCAGCCCCACCCTGACACAGCCCGGCTTCCCGGGCGCATGGGCTTTCCCCACCCCCTCAGCCTCGCTTTGGAAAGGTCCAGAGCTTCGGCGGGGAGAAGAGGCAGGCGGAGCCAGGGCGGGGCCTGACTGAGGGAGGAGGGACCGAGGAGGGAGGCTGGAGAGGCGGAGCTAAGGACTGGAAGAGAGAGACTCTGCTACACCAATAAGCGAGCCGAAGGCGGGGCAGGGCTGAGAGGGTGGTGAGGCGGGAGACGAGAGAAGCGCAAGGCAGGTATGGAAGACCGTGGAGGCCGCGCCGAGCCAGGAGCCAGGGCCGTGCTTGAAAGGAGGGGACGTGGGTGGAGCTAAAGGGAGGCCGTGCCCGTAGGAGGAGTCAAAGGTGGAGGGAGACCGAGGCGAGGCTGGGCGAAGCGGCACCCTTAGCAGAGGGGGCCGGAGGCGTGGCTGAAGAGAAATCCAGGAGGGAGGAAAAACTGAAGCGGGACAGAAGGAGGCGTTCCCGGAAGCCGAGCAGGGAGGTGGGGGCTCAAAGGTGGCCACTCCGGGGAAGAGCCGGAAGGAGGCGTGACCCAAGGCAAGAGCGGCTGGCTGGTGCTGAAGATGGGCGGGGTCTGGAGACAGGGCCCAAACAAGTTGGCGGGGGGCCGTACCGAAGGGTGCGGAAGAGATGGCGTAGGGAGGAGCCCTAGGTCCTTTCACTTTCAGCGAACCAGGTGCGTGGACTGGACGAGGATAGTTCCTCTCAGCCTAGGCTAGGACGGGGCGGAGAGGCAGCAGTTGGGTTGGGTTTGGAGAGGAGGCGCCACTCCCACCTACAAAGGAGGTTAAATTGAAGTACGTTTACCCTTCTAGGGTGCGGGAAACGTTTGATAGATAACTTGATCTGGGTGGTGGTCCTCTCTCCTGAGTATTTCTCCTGTCGTAAACTCTCACCCAAATCAGTGTTCCAGCCTCCACGGAACAGGCGGAGGGGCCTTCAAAGAGCACAGGAGAAGGTTGCCCTTCTGTCCTCAGCTATACTTCCCTGAAGGGTGAGATTTGTCCAAAATCTTGTGGCAGACCTGTGATTTCATGATCGTGTTTTTCACATCGCTTGCCCCAGAACCCACCTAAGAACGGGAGTCCTAACAGGGCAGAGTTTGAATGGAATCCTCGCCCTGCGAAACCAGCAATTATAGCTCCGTTTGTTTTATTTGATGACGCCGTTGTCTCCCTTCAAAGGAAGAGAAGTCCAATTGGAGAAATAGTGATACTGAGACCAAAGACAAGAACGTTCTTCCTCCACATGTTCTAACTTCTGGTTCCTTCTTCTGCCTCAAGTCTCTGTTTAAATATCACCGCAGAGAGGCCTTTCCCACCCCAGCTAAAGATGTTCTCTAGTCTCTTATTCATTTCCTTCATGGTATTTCTTAGTCTTGTCATTTATTAGTCTGTGCGTTTTTTGTCTGTCTCCCCACTAGAAGGTAAGTTCCATGAGACCAAGCATCTTTGACTGCTTGGGTACATCATTGTCTGGTAATGATGCAATTGTTACTTAGTGCAATGTCTGGTATAGACCTGATGTTCAGTAAACACTTGAGTGAATTAATCAATCAACCAACCAATTAAGGAACTGGTCCCTGCCAATCTCCTCTGCTCTGTTTCTGGCCATTCCTGGCTCCTCACCTCCCTCCCTTTGTACTGGCCTTACCATGTGCACTTGAATACACAACAGTCTCTCAGCACCCTCTGCTGTAGCACATTCTCCACTTGGACTGCACCTCCTCTTCTGCCTAGATACTTCCTGTTCATCCTTCAAAACTCAACTCAGGAACACCTCTTGTGAGAGGCTTTCTCTGCCCTCCCATCAGCCCCACCACCAGGTGCTGGCTGTGGTGCTGCACCCTCCCTGTGCAGGTGTTAATCCTCTTTCTGCTGGCACTGAGGATTATATTCATGGTTTCAAAGGTCCTGTGTGATCTACTCTCTGCTACCTTTCTAAACTTATCCCCTATTGTATTGCTTGCACCTCCTCTCACTCTGCTCCAGCCTTATGTGCCTCCTTGCTGTTCTTTTGACACACCAAGCATTCTGCTAACCGCAAGACCTCTGTTACTTGCTGTTGTGTCTGCCTCAAATGCCCTCCTCCCAGATGTGGGCATGGCTAGTGTCACTTCCTCAGAGAAGCCTTCCCTGGCCCACACTTAAAATAGCAACACCCTGGGGCGCCTGGGTGGCTCAGTCGGTTGAGCGTCTGACTTCAGCTCAGGTCACGATCTAATGTCCGTGAGTTCGAGCCCCGCCTCGGGCTCTGGGCTGATGGCTCGGAGCCTGGAACCTGCTTCCGATTCTGTGTCCCCCTCTCTCTCTGCCCCTCCCCCGTTCATGCTCTGTCTCTCTCTGTCTCAAAAATAAATAAACATTAAAAAAAATTTTTTTTAATAAAATTTAAAAAAATAGCAACACCCTACTGCTCTGTGCTCTTTCCTGCTGTATTTTTCTCCGTACCATTCATTACCACCTTAAATACTGTTTATTTGTTTGTTGTCCCTCTCCCATCCCCACCTTCTACTACTTTTTTTTGTGAACTTCACAAAGACAGGATTTTGTCCATTTTGCTCATTCCTCAGTCCCTAGAACTAATATTTGTTGAATGGATGGCTATGAATTAAACAGAGACGTGTTAGGAATACTCTGTGTTGTCCAGAAGAATCCTTGAAGATCACAGTATGAAGGGAGATGTTTCTGAAGAATACACTGGCAACACGAGCTAATGTAGTGTATTTACTAGTTGCCAGGAAATGTGCTAAGCACTTTTCAAACGTATTTAATTCCCACAGCAGCCCTCAAGGTAGGTACTATTATAATCCCTACTGTACAGACGAGAAGACTGTAGCACAGAGGTTAACTTTCCCAAGGTCACACAGCTACTAAGTGCTAGAGTCCAGTTTTCGAGCCTGCATGCTGAACACTATACTAACCTGTCTCCTAATTATCAAGGACCTACTCTTGTTGGTCCAATAAAGAAGAAGAATGAAGCAGAAACATTCTATCGCCTTCAGGACATGTAGTATAGGCTATGATGCCTGGAGTTGTGGCAGAATTTTTTCTTAACCACTGTATTAGGGTTCTCCAGAGAAACAGAACCAATAGGATATATCGATATAGATAGGGATAGATGATAGGAAATGGCTCACATGGTTATAGAGGCCAGGAAGTCCCATGATCTGACATCTGTAAGCTAGAGAATCAGTAAAGCCAGTGGTATAATTCAGTCCAAGTACAAAAGCCTAAGAACCAGGATTGGTGATGTCCAATGTCCTGGGAAAGAGAAGATGGATGTCTCAGTTCAGCTAAGAGCAAGTTTGCCCTCCTCTGCATTTTTATTCTATTTGGTCTTCGACACATTGGGTGATACCCACCTGCATTGTTGAGGGTGATCTTAGGGTACCAATTCAAATGCTCGTCTCTTCCAGAAACACCCTCACAGACACACCCAGAAATGTTTTACCAGCTATCTGGGCATACCTTAGCCCAGTCAAGTTGACACACAAAATTGACCATCAAAGCCACCAAGAGGGAAAGTCAGCCAAAGAAGTAAAGCCATCACGTGGAGGAAGGCAGGACTAAGAAAACTCTATAGAAGAAATGAGTCAGAAACCTGCTAAAAACATACCTGAAACTTGACCTACTTCTGGACTTTTCCATGAACCAACATGTCTTTATAGTTTGAATAGTTTTAATTGGTGTTTTTGTAACTTACAACGAAAAACAGATTTCCTGGATACCTGAGTGGCTCAGTCAGTTAAGTGTCTAGCTCTTGATTTGGACTCAGGTCATGATTTTGGCTCAGGTCATGATCTCATGGTCATGAGATCTAGCTCCTCACTGGGCATGGAGCCTTCTTAAGATTCTCCCTCTCCCTCTGCCCCTCCCCTGCTTGTGCTCGCTTTCTCCCTCTCTCTCTCTCTCTCAAAGAAGAAGAAGAAGAAGAAGAAGAA